CACTGGTATTTAACATCGAGCGGTGTTCCACAAGGCTTATTTCTTGGTTCTCTACTTCTCTTAGTGTTGCTCATATTTGTTAATTTGGCCCCATCTAATACTTTACAGCCAAAAGTAGATTTACTATTTACTATATTCTGGTGATTCTGAACAGCAACATGGCACAGTTCTCAGTCACTTTTTAATTATCAAAATTAGACAAAGTCTAACAAATATTTTTTCATAGAACATCAGGCCTTCCTACATTTATAGCAGGAGTAGCAAATATACAGGACACAGCAGTGATATCTATCTTCTCACTTAACTGAAACTAAGGTCATTTGTGTTTACTTAAAGCAACATGTAAGTTGGTAGTTTGTCTCCCCCCACAGTTGATGAGTATAATTGAGTTGTACCCAACTACTTGCACTTTACCCCCTCCTCTTGGACTAAATATGCATTTGTTTACAAGTTGAAGCTGTTACTGAACTGGGAAAGAAACATCAGAAACCAAAGTTTGTAAAGTAGTTTAACAGGATTTTATACAAATATGACTCCATAGTTTTATGGGGGAGGCGTTAGTGCGGTTGGTAGAGCAGTTGTCTCCAAACCGGAAGGTTGAAGGTTTGAATCTTGGTGCCTGCAGTCCACGTGTCGAAGTGTCCTTGGGCAAGACACTGAACCCCCCCCCACCCCCACCCCGTTACCTAGAGCCATTGGTTGAGTTGGCGCCGCAGATGGCTGCTATCGGTTCTGTACCGGAAACAAATTCCTTGTGTGTAACATACTTGGCCAATAAAGGTTATTATTATCCTTATCCTTATTTGTGAACAGAAAAAAAAAAATCGTTTCCTAAGTGTCTGAAAGTGGATGTGTGTAATGAGGTGTTGTTGGTGACATAGTACAGGCTCATATTGCACAAATTAACTTCAAAGTTTTATTTAATGTGGCACTGACAAAGACTGACCAAACCTTCTGGTGTGAGATGAATTTGTTTATTTGGGGGAACTGAGGTCCCTGCTATAAAAACCAGCATAGCTAGTGACCAGCTATGCTATATTAGCTTGTGTTGTGTTTTGGTGCTGGTATGCTGGTGACCAGCACCAAAACACAACATAAGCTAGTACTAAGCTGGTTATAATGATGCCTGGCATACCAACATGACATACAGTATTTGTGAGATTCTGATGACTGGCCTAGGATTCTCAAGTGGTCAACACTGGTAGATGCTAGTCATGGCATGCTGTTTGCCAGGGTGGAAAACGGAGTTACCGGGAGTTAGGGTGGGCTGGAGACAGGAAGTGGTGTCAGAATAAAAGCAGGACCGGAAGTGGACGGGGCAGGATCATGACACATGGAATTTTGGTAGGATGCTAAAAACTCAAATCATGAAAATATTACAATGCTTCTGCTTGATGCATGTTAGTAAAAAGTAGGAGAAAATTTAGGTTTTATAGAATGTTTATTTATTAAATAGGTTCATTTCCCAATTTTTGGAGCAGGGGTTCAGATCCACATGGGTGCATGCATGTACTGAAATTTAGATTCCATTTTTTAAGCTACTAAGACTGTTCCACAATTAACACACTGTAAATGGGAAATAACAGCAGATATGTGGTGGTAACAAGACCTGAGCCATCCCCTTCTGAAATAAAATTTACTGGGGCAGCATCCCCTATTTTGTAAGCTATTGTATGAGAAGTCAGTCTACCATCAAAATGATTTTTCACAACAAGCTGAATAAAAGACTTTATACAGTCATATTCTCATTGAATATTTCTTAACAATAGTGTTTAAATAGCATCTTGTTACATTCTTGTGAATCCAGTATCATGTATCGTCTCCTCTCGTGAGCTAAGTGTATCATCGCACCGCTAATATTTACACATACTACATGTAGAGATGCTTCTTGTGAGCCATCCTACCCTTGGTGGTGTTGTACTCAGATTGTTCCCAACACCTTTGTTGATCCATATTGTCTGGAAATATGCGAAAAGAAGGCATTTCTGCACACTGAAAATATGCTATGTAACAGAGTGGATAATATATTCTACTGATAAGCTTTTAACTGAAAAGAATATACTCAGATGCAACCCCTTTCTAACCACCCAGATTTTAAATATTAACTGTAAATTAAATTACATACTGTATTTTCTCAATAATTGTAGGGGAATAAAATGACTGTGTATTTTAAGTACCAATAATTATGTAGTGCTGCTCCAGGTAACTAGCTACTCCCCGACACTGGTATTTAACATCGAGCGGTGTTCCACAAGGCTTATTTCTTGGTTCTCTACTTCTCTTAGTGTTGCTCATATTTGTTAATTTGGCCCCATCTAATACTTTACAGCCAAAAGTAGATTTACTATTTACTATATTCTGGTGATTCTGAACAGCAACATGGCACAGTTCTCAGTCACTTTTTAATTATCAAAATTAGACAAAGTCTAACAAATATTTTTTCATAGAACATCAGGCCTTCCTACATTTATAGCAGGAGTAGCAAATATACAGGACACAGCAGTGATATCTATCTTCTCACTTAACTGAAACTAAGGTCATTTGTGTTTACTTAAAGCAACATGTAAGTTGGTAGTTTGTCTCCCCCCACAGTTGATGAGTATAATTGAGTTGTACCCAACTACTTGCACTTTACCCCCTCCTCTTGGACTAAATATGCATTTGTTTACAAGTTGAAGCTGTTACTGAACTGGGAAAGAAACATCAGAAACCAAAGTTTGTAAAGTAGTTTAACAGGATTTTATACAAATATGACTCCATAGTTTTATGGGGGAGGCGTTAGTGCGGTTGGTAGAGCAGTTGTCTCCAAACCGGAAGGTTGAAGGTTTGAATCTTGGTGCCTGCAGTCCACGTGTCGAAGTGTCCTTGGGCAAGACACTGAACCCCCCTATCCTTATCCTTATTTGTGAACAGAAAAAAAAAAATCGTTTCCTAAGTGTCTGAAAGTGGATGTGTGTAATGAGGTGTTGTTGGTGACATAGTACAGGCTCATATTGCACAAATTAACTTCAAAGTTTTATTTAATGTGGCACTGACAAAGACTGACCAAACCTTCTGGTGTGAGATGAATTTGTTTATTTGGGGGAACTGAGGTCCCTGCTATAAAAACCAGCATAGCTAGTGACCAGCTATGCTATATTAGCTTGTGTTGTGTTTTGGTGCTGGTATGCTGGTGACCAGCACCAAAACACAACATAAGCTAGTACTAAGCTGGTTATAATGATGCCTGGCATACCAACATGACATACAGTATTTGTGAGATTCTGATGACTGGCCTAGGATTCTCAAGTGGTCAACACTGGTAGATGCTAGTCATGGCATGCTGTTTGCCAGGGTGGAAAACGGAGTTACCGGGAGTTAGGGTGGGCTGGAGACAGGAAGTGGTGTCAGAATAAAAGCAGGACCGGAAGTGGACGGGGCAGGATCATGACACATGGAATTTTGGTAGGATGCTAAAAACTCAAATCATGAAAATATTACAATGCTTCTGCTTGATGCATGTTAGTAAAAAGTAGGAGAAAATTTAGGTTTTATAGAATGTTTATTTATTAAATAGGTTAATTTCCCAATTTTTGGAGCAGGGGTTCAGATACACATGGGTGCATGCATGTACTGAAATTTAGATTCCATTTTTTAAGCTACTAAGACTGTTCCACAATTAACACACTGTAAATGGGAAATAACAGCAGATATGTGGTGGTAACAAGACCTGAGCCATCCCCTTCTGAAATAAAATTTACTGGGGCAGCATCCCCTATTTTGTAAGCTATTGTATGAGAAGTCAGTCTACCATCAAAATGATTTTAAAGTGTTTTTTAATGTAAAAGTTACATATTGTTGCTTTAAGTAAATAAGTGTATTTCCCAAACTGGCAAACAGCTATTTTAATGAATAAAAGTGTCAACCTAGTATATCAGTGTAAATTATTTGCTGTCTTTTTTGTGACTGACACAATCTTTTGGTATTAAAATAGAGATTGGGGTGTTTTCCCAGTATTACATCCCAGGTTCCTAGCATCAGATCTGACCCTGACCCAGGGAAGCATATGGCCTCCTAAACAAGCTGTTACTAACCACTTAACTTAAACCCTGACTGGCTTCTCTTTATCTCTCCTTTTCTCTCTGTAACAGTTTTTCTCTGTTTTTTTCCTCCCATGTCGATCTCTCTTAACTATTTTTCTTCTCTTCTCATCAGCCTTCACCTTCATTGCCTCATTTTAAAATAAACTAGCTAATTCCCCTTGTGAAACTCAATCTTTCACAGCACAACACCAAGAGAAGTACACCTCATAAAAGCTCTGGGGGGGTTATGCACTTCAAACAGAGGCAGGGATTAAAAGGCCATGTCTGTTTACTTATAACCCTCTCTGCGGCTCTTTAGAGTCCCACCACTTCCTAATTCAATTACAGAGCCAAGCTGAAGACAAGACTGAATCTTCAAGAAACACTATGATGTGGAATTTCCCTCCATCTTACTGGCTCAGGTTACAGGGTTGTTGATGGTTTTGTAGGAAGCATGAAGGTCTATGATAAGAAGATCTGAACTAGGTGTGTTTGAGAGCTCAACTTTTGATGTTTTACATCGATAAATGTAGTAAGTACACTAACAGTGATTAAATCTTTATCTGATTCATGAGGGACTGCATGTTTGTTCTTTCAAGAACCTGGGGTCTGCTGAGTCTTTCCAGGAATAATCATCTGGAATAAATAAGTGATTTGTTCAATTGTTGTTTATATAAGAACTGAACAGTTCAGAACTTTTTGGACTGAGATGAAGAGGAATTCAAAGTGGCGCCAGTGTGCACGGCCTGCTGTCTACCGCTCCTAATCCTGTGTGTTTTTGTGCTGTATTGTTCATTTTTTATCCTGAATGGGGACTCTCTGTTGTCGTACGATTGCCAAACTTTGCTGAATCTTCGCTTGGGTGTTTCAAACTTGGTTCAGTTTGATTGTCACGGGCACAAATCTCTACCTCCGTTTCTATCAGGTATACCTGCTTACCTTCGCCGCGGTCCGGCTCTCCCATTCAGGAGGAGGAGGCAGAGACGTCGTGGCAGGCGGAGTGGGCAGCTGGTAAGGCTAAAGGCCTCCTTGGCGGGCCCTTCCTTGGCATCTCTGGTTCGGCATGCTCCGGGCACCAGCCTCCGCGCTTCATGGTGTTCTCTGGATCCTGTTTGCTCTTCGTTGGTGTCGATGGTTGGCTCAGACTGGAGGACTGGGTGGCCTCATAGCTGTTATCTACGTCTTTGCCGGCGTGGGATTAACTGCTCGAACTTGCGACCACTGCAGCATACCTCCAGGGTGGCTAGCTTGCCGGGTCCTATCACGATCGGCCTGGGTAACGCTAGATCGTTGGCAAATAAGACTTTTATCTTAAAGGATTTCTTCACTTCCCGAGGGTTGGACTTTTTTTGTGTGACTGAGACCCTGTTAGGTGTGGGTGAGTCCAGTGCTCTCCTTGAATTGCAGCTGCCTGATTGTACTTTTCTTAACTCCCTGAGGCCATCGTGCCGCGGAGGGGGAATAGCGACTATTTATAAAACGATTTTTAAATGCAAGCAGATTTTATCATTTCCCTTTTTTTTCCAGCTTTGAGATGTCCTTATTTGAGCTGGGTCACTCTCCGGCCTTATTGTGGGCTGTGATTTATCCCCCACCTAAGTTTAATAAGGATTTTATAGGTAACTTTTCTGATTTCTTGGTCAATTTTATGCCTAGATTAGTTAATAAGCTCTGACAGCTAAAATAAGTAAATGGATAAGAAAAAGGCAGCCACCTACAATTTGAAAACAAAATCTACAAGAATTATGCCATTGTAAATGGGTGGAAATTGTAAATAGCCTGACTGATACAGACAACTGACACATTCACCTGCCATGAATTTTGGGCTGCAGACAATCTGAATAGCATGTATCAACATGGGCAAATAGTGAACTTTCAGCTCATTATCACTACCAAACTCAAATGCTGACACTTTGACAAGTATCTATTGTGTCCCATACAGAGGCTAATGGTTGCTTTTGGGGGTTGTATGGGACATGCAGGGTTTTAATAGAGAACAGTGCATCAGTATTTGACAACCTGAGTCACAGTCTGGTTGTGCATTTACAGTGACATAAGGTGAATCCCAATTCCCCTAACTGCATCCACGCTTCCCTCTTTTCCTTGCATCTTAGTCCCGCTCATGTAAGATGCAAGGAGAAACTGCAAGGAGAGAAGAACTGGTGAAACACACTTCAACAGACATGAGACATCCTTTCCTACAGTCCTTTATGTTAAGTGTCTAATCACAAACTGATTTTCAATAAAGACGTGTCAATCTGTAACAGACATCTGTGAAGGATGCACTCGCGTATGCTCGGTTACATTTCCTCAAAGAAACATCCTCACTCCTCGCTCCTCAGAGCAGAAATAAGAACTTTGGGATGTCCTTCATCATGGCAAATAGTGTTAACAGAGTTAAATACTGTGGATTTTAATCTGGGTTTGTTTTAAGCCAAGCCACAGTCTTTTCCCAAACCTAAACAAGTAGCCTAGGTTTAATGCAATCAAACATTTTTTTTGTGTCTAAACCTAACTTTTTTGTGTAAAAGCAAGCTCTTTACTGATGCTTTGTTAAGTACCTCTGGCATCTCATACTAATACCAACAACTATTTGGGATCAATATGAGACACTGAAAGGTACTTGACAAAACATCAGTATTTGACTCCATGGGATGAGTGTGTGTTGTGTCACCCAGAACCTCACAACTTGAAAAGTATAAACTGGCTGAAGCCATGTGCACATCATATGGAATGGACATTGGAAATGAGAACGTTTGGACAACTCCATCCATCCATTATCTATACTACATATCCTGAAGAGGGTCACAGGGGGGCTGAAGCCAATCCCAGCTGGCACTGGGTGAGAGGAGGGGCACAATACACCTTGGAGAGGAGAGGTCGCCAGTCTATCACAGGGGTGACACATAGAGGCAGACAACCACTCACACTCACATTCACATCTGCTAGCAACTTAGTCACCAACTACCCTCACCTTTGTGTCTTTGGACTGTGGCAGAAAGCCAAAATCCCTGGAGGAAACCCTTGTAGGCACAAGGAGAACACACAGACAGGGACAGGGCTGAGTGCAGGTGGAGAAAAGACAAAGTAGAAGTATCATTTCAGATACTAAGAGACTCTTGGCACAGCTATCAAAAAACAGTGAAAAACCTTAAGAGACATTATTTCTCTAATATCATTCAATCAAACTGTCATAAGCCTCGTGTTTTGTTTAAAGTTATTGATGAGATTTGTGATACTCTAAACAAAGCAGGTAATTGAGAAACCCCATATTTTAACTGACATAATGTAGACATAGTAACTTCTCCTTACAACAGTTCTCTAAGGTTACAGAAACACGGCATTAACAAACATGCAACATGTGTTTTTTTAAACTTACAGTTAAGTCTCACCGAGTATTGGAAACATCACTCCCTTTCTGTTATGACTTGTACTCACTTCCTGTTTTTGTGCTTTTATTTTTATTTTAGATTTCCAGTCTTGTGTCACCTCACCTGCCTGAGCTTTACCCCAGTTCACAATTACTGGGCATTGCTTCCACCTGTTGGTCATTACCCCCTGGTTTTTCAACCCATATACTGTATTCTCCTCCTTTCCCTCAGTGACTTGCTGGTTCACTCTGTTCACCACACCGAGTTTCTGCTTCCCAAGTCTGTATCTGTCTCACGCTTGGTGCTGTCCTGGCTTTGTTTGGGTAGGGTAGGGTAGGGTAGGGTAGGGTAGGGTAGGGTAGAACTTTATTGATCCCACAGTAGGGAAATTCCAGTGTTCCAGCAGCAGTCGAGAATACCCAAAAAACAAGACAGTAGCATTTCAGAGAAAGTCAGGAACAGATATTGCTCTCACTCAAATCACAGACAGGGAAGACTGTGGTCAGAGGGGGAGGGGTGGAAGTGTACGCATTCCTAGCATTAGCATACGGTATGGTCCAGAGTTTTATTGTTCTTTGTGTAGGAGGGTGGCAGACAGGGGGAGGGAGGCATGGCATGGTTGAGGTCCCCGAGATAAGGATTAGGGCCTGCGGGTGCTGTGTCCACAGAGACACCGTGCGCCTGCATGCAGCAGAGCCAGCCCGAGGATCAGTGGAGAACCATCACCACAGACCACAGATCCTGGAGTCCCAGTGTTTGGTTCGTTCCCTTGTGTTTTGGATTTTTCTGTCAGTAGTTCTCTGGTTAGTTTCTTGGTTTTGGTTTTAGCTCCTTACCCAGCTGCCTGACCAAACTGTTTAGTTTATCTATTTGGTGTTCTTTGTTTCCCTCCGTCAGGTTGAGCCCTTGTATTTTTTCCCTTTAGTCTCTAGTCCTATAGTATTTATTAAAGCTCAACTTGAACTTTCCCTGGGCTTGTGTGTCCACATTTTGGGTCCTACCTCTTGAGCCTACTTTCAAGTAGCTCCAAGGTTGGTAAATCCAACCGGTGGCTGCTGTGTCTTCCCCCACATGATCACATATAGTCCTAAAGTAGTGAAATTTATTCCAACAGGTAGCGTAGCACTGGCAATAACATCATGGGTTGTTAATCTGCTCCTTAACCAGCAACACATCACATGCGGCAGACACACTGGCCTCAAACAGACAAAACAAATAGGTACTGTGCTCCGGGGGAATCCAACATTGATGAGCTGATCATTCACCATCACAGGGGTCTTCACTGGCTGCTTGTAGGTTAGACTCAGTCAGGTAAAACAACAAGTTCCTGTACAGGAATGTTCCCGACATGCAGTAACCTCAGACCCTGTATTTTTCTCCACATCGCCTGGTCACAGTGCAGCAGCAGGAGGTAAAATATATCCACAAAACTGGGCACAGTCAAAAAATTCCACTTTTTCAGTGGCACAGGTGGATGTCAGGCAGGCTCACATGACCGCGCAACTGCCTGGACATTATGATCATTCAAGGAAATCCTTAAACTATCTTAATTGTTTTAGAAAAAAGCCTCACCAGTGAGAGTTTGAGAGACATGTATAAACCAAAATGCTTCTGCATAGAAATACTAGAACAAGTGTAGACCTCATTTTTTGAGCTTTAGGTCACGTCTGAGATGACAATTCACCGTGAGAGAAGGCTCACTTTCATAGCACTCAAACAGAAACTCTTTGCAACAAGGAAACTGGCTTCAGTGTTTTCTACACATATGATCAAATACAAAGTGCACCAAGTTGCTGTAACAATAGTAAGTGATCAGTGTAGGTGAGCGAGCATTGAACTGTAAAAGGTGAGGGAGCAGTTTGAACAGTTCTTACTGTACCTGGCTAGCTAAACCTTTAGTAGTTGAGTTACAACTGTAAAGTGCAGTAATTATCCATCTAGCAGTCTACTCTTCAGACAGCTTCAGATGCATTACCACCACCATCCACATACAGCATAAACCACTGCATATACAGACAGGTGGCAAATCCAGAAGGCATGAGGGGTCGCTGTATGGTCTGATGAGGATGAAAATGCTGTGGCCTTCACAATGATCAAAAACACCAATTGAGGGAATATCATTTGAAGAATGGTGTTCATCCCTCCAGTAGTGTTCAGAGAGTCAATGCCAAGGTGCACTGAAGCTGTTCTGGTGGCACATGGTAGCCCTGCACCTCACTAAGACACTTTATGCTGGGCTTTCCTTTTCATTTGTTACCTGTCTATATCTGGTTGTGTGAAAATTATTGGCTTAAATCTCATTAAACATTTTAGACAAAGACCAGTTCAAGAGCTAGACTGACTGCAGAAATGTGGGTCTGTATTTGGGCTGCCTTTTTGTGCATCAACAGGTCCATATTAAATGGTGATGTTGTGGGTAGCATTCAGAACCACAGCAGCTGAGAAAACACTGCTCATATGTGGCTTAGTAGGATGCTCATATGGATGATATTAGCATAGCTGCTGTTTACCCTGTACTGCTGTAGAGCCAACCACATGCACATGCACGCATTACACAGCAACTCTGCTTTATATCCTCTGTTTAACAATATTAGAGCCAAACCCAAAAGATTAGGCCCTGCATGCATGTGGGACCACAGGCTGTTAACCTCTGGACATGCATCCATAAACACATACACAGCTCCATTATTCAGGTCCATCAACAGTTCAGTAATGGGGAACACAAACGGACAGTGTAAATGACCATCAACATGAATTGTGAGCTGCTTGCTCAGAACACTTGCCGAGGCAGCCTGGTACGCATTGGACCACATATCTTTTGTAGGGTTTTATGCTAATGCATCCTGATGCATCCATGACAAGGACGTTACAGGAAAATATGTCATCAATGTAGGATGTGCTGGTTGTTTATGTGAGAGCATCCCAATGCTCAAAAAAGAAAAAAGATGGACAGAAATGTGTGATACA